TATTCAGAACTTCACTTTTTCACTTTAATTAAATAATTTGTTACTCGTGTAGATTTATTAGAAGACACAACCGCGCTCGAGCGCAGCCAAAATGGGTTTATCAATCCAGATCAATGAAGGTGCTGGAGCTGCCACAGCTGGTGCCCTCAAGCGACTTCTGCTGCTGCGTCCTCAGTCGACTTTGTCGCAGGTGATAATCGAGAGAGATGAACTGGCCAAAAGGCCCAACGGGCTGCTTGTCGCCAATCGTTTTCATTTCGCGTCAAAATGCGATCGCAAATGTGCCCTGTATAACTAGTTTGGGAGTTATGTATGCTGATGCAAAACGTTATAAAAATATTGTTTATATTGGAACTTATTGTTTTTTATTATTAAGCTGACCAATTTAATGTACACTATACGAAATTCGAATACAGGGTATTTGTACATTCAGCTGACATCTTGTTAACATGGCTCCATATGTTAAGCTGCAGCTTTAAGCGCTGTTAACTTGAGTGATGCCAGTATATACCACACTTTGTTCAAGCTCTTCTGTTTCTATTTTTTCACGCAAATACACATTTATGAATGTATGTATAGAATAATACGGATATTATTTCTTCGTGGGATCAGGGTATATTCTAATCAGGTATATTCTAATCGACTAGATCATCCTTCTTAAATATCACATAACAACAATAATATGCACAAGTGATTCAGCCAGCATTTTATATCCTTAAGTAAAAACGAGAGAATACAAAAATGAGGCAAAACATAATGAGTACCAGTGGCCAGTGGGAGATCGTGTAGGATTCGGAGGAATTTTTCAAAAATAAGCCCGATTGCATAAAGCTCTCCAGGAGCTCCGACTTCATTTCATCATACAGGGGATAGTTGAGAGCCGTGAACTTAGAAGGGAAGCCAGGTTTTCCTGTGCATTCTTTGATTAAATCCCCTGTAAATTTGAATTCATACGGAAGACAAGCCATATAGTTAACTGGTTCGATTATCCTATTAGATGTTGGCTCGACAAAATTCCAAGCACTATTCATTTTAATTTGTCTTTCAAAAATTAGCGCAGTCGATCCCATAGTAACTAAGTATTGTTCGCCATTTTCAGACTGAGATTGATATATTGCATATGGAGTGCCTGGTCGTATTATTTTATTATAATATTTGTATATCATATCTTTTGAGTATCTTCCCACGCATATTTTCGACCAAATTTTGTTTTTAATTGTTCTACAGATTTTATTCCGACGACGCGGCATACTTAACAAACAAATTTTATTTGACTTCAATATCGAAGAATTTCAGTTTACTTGTAACAAATATTATTTCTGAGTTAATGTGAAAAGTTCTAAGCGGGTTTTATACTTGTACATACTTGGATGATCAAGAAGAATTCGAAATCGAATATATTTTAAAATCTGAACTCATCCAAATGGGATTTTAGTGTATAATGGTATATCAAGCATTAGAGGCAGACGAGGTGAGCCGATAGCTTTATTTTCATATACCAGAGGACATAATGCATATGATCAGGAGATACTTGCAAGAACAAGTACTCGACTAAACAGACTCGGCCCTGAGAGGTGGAGCATCAGCTATTACGACGACGAAACACCTTAGGAGTCCAAAAAAGACTTACCCCAATCATGATGTGCATCTAGAAGTGGCTTAGCTCCCGAGGTCTGGAGCTTGCTAGCAAACGGAATTGCTTCTGTTCCTGAAACAGATTTTAATGGATGTCAAAGGGCCCAGAAAACATACCTTGTGGGAACAGCTTAAGCATGACACGCGAAAATAGCGATAGCAACTGGGTCTTTGCGTAGACAGATAGAAAATGTTACGGACTGATAGGAGGAAAACGACGGATCCTGGTGGAAGCGACAAATACGATCTTCGATATGGTAGAATAGTAAAAGCGGATATATTGACAGCAGAAGTAAGGCGAAATCCCAGGCTTGCTTGCACAAGAGAGATAGAACGTGTTGATAAATAAAGAATACTTTATACGGAGAATTATCTTTTTTTATTTGATACAGAGTTTGATGATAGATAAATATCGGATAAAAAAATACAAAGTTACCTTATCTCTTTAATTTTGTATACACTTATTTCATACATGTTTTCAAAGTCCTTTTTTAAAATATTATTAAGTATAAATTATGTTCATCAATATTAACAAATTATGCTTATCAAATTACTACAGTTTTCAGGCTAACTTTTAAGTTTTAAGTAAAGACGTGAAAAAACAAAAACTATACAAAACATAATGAGTATAATCGGCCAGTGGGACCACTGGCTCCATATGGGGGCAGTTTCAGAAGCTGCTTTCATATCCCGATCAAGCTTGTCAAACAAAGCTTCTGCCATTTCATCATACAGGGGATAGTTGAGTACCGTGTACAAAGCAGCGGGACGAGGTTTTTTCGTGCAATCTTCGATTAATTCGTCAGTAAACTTAAATTTATACGGCAGGCAAACCATGACATTGACTGGTTCGATAATACGGTTAGATTTTGGTTCAACGAAGACCCAATCATTAATCAATTGAATTTGTTTTTCATAAAGAAGTGGCGATTCTCCCATAGATATTAGGTAGTGTCGCCCATCGTCATGTTGTGATTGAAATATTGCATATCGAGTGTTTCGCCTCACTAGATAATTGTGAAACCTATAAATAATATTGGTTGAATATCTACCAGTGCATATTCTCGACCAAATCTTGTTTGAAATTAACCGACATTTTTTACTTTGAGTGAACATAGTTTATCTTAAAAAATTTTTAATTCGATTTGAGGATCTACAAATTTTATTCTACCTTTAATCAAAATTATTTCTGAGCTCGAGCGGGTTAATATAAAACCCCCAACATACTTTGATGACAAACAAAATTTTCAAGTTGATTTGCTTGTTTTGATTATACTCTATACTTATTTGTCGTTGCAATCGTTAGCGGGACAAAGAGTCAGTTTTGGATCATCAGATTGGGAGAGTCCCGATTTAAAGATTAATTTTTGGAGTTTAATGGAAGCTCACAAGCAGTTGGACTAGCTGCCAGCAGAGGCTTCTCTGTTAGATTACAATACAATACACTGATTTGAATAGAGAGATATAAAATATACTGAGAACAAATCATAGTTACCGCCTGTGCGTATAATTTTTTTGTATTATTAGTATTTCAGTTCATTTCTTTTTTGATTACTGAATAAAAATATTACAAACTTAGCCAAAAGTCTTAAGTTTTAAGTAAAAACGAGACAGTACAAAAATTATAAAAAACTCAATGAGTATAATTGGCCAGTGGGACCATGTGTAGGATGTGGAGGCAGTTTTAGAAGCTGCCATCATGCTCCGATTATAAAACGTAAGTTGTGCTTTCATTTCATCATACAGGGGATAGTTAAGTACCGTGAACATTGCAGTGCGACCAGATTCTCTCGTGCACATTTCGATTCGTTCGTCAGTAAACCTAAATTTATACGGCAGGCAAACCATGACTTTAACTGATTATGTTGTTAGATTTTGGTGCAATGAAATTCCAAGTACTAGTCATTTGAATTTCTTGTTCATGAATAAGTGGCGTATCTCCCATAGATACTAGGAAGTCTCGCCCTTTATCAGATTGTGATTCAAATATGGCATATGCAGTTCCTTGCGGCACTATACGATTGAAAAATTTCAAATATAAAGCTTGCGAATATTTTCCCACGCATATTCTGGACCAAATTTTGTTTGCAATTGACCGACATCTTAAAGTTCGACGAGTCATAATTTATGTTACAAATAATTTTGGCTCGACTTGTAGATCAGAGAATTTTAGTTCACTTATGAAATAAATTATCTTTGAGTCGAACGGGTTAATATAAAACCCGCTAGGTACTTTGATGATATACAAAAGTTTCAAGTTGATTTGTTTATCTTGATCGCCTGAAGTGACCCGAATCCATCAGATTCGGAGAGTCCTGATTTAATTTAATTCTTTAATGTCTATAACCATGAAGTTTTTTTTTAACTTTATGTTGCCCCGAATTAAGAAATATTAAATAAGTATTTAATTTATTAATTTATTATTTTATTTAAAATAAGATATATTGACAAATCGGGGGTCAATTAAAACTATAATTATATGGCCTAAAAAAGTCGAGAATATTATTACAGCCCGATGGGGCTATTTTATTTGCCAGTCCGGCCAGCTATGCCCCTATGAACAGTCAAATATGGTCAGTGATACTATTGAAATTATGAAAAACAGAAAGTGTTAAATGAAAACTTAAAATAAATATTAAAGGAGCCTAAATATAGTTCTTTTAATTACAATTATAATAATTCTGAAGATAAAAATTAGTAACGAAAAAGATTAATATTACAAGATAGTAAAAAGAAAAAATAATAAGAAATATAAAGAAAAGAATAAGAAAAGAGCTAAAATAGAATACATGTAGGATAGGATTGAGAAATCACAGCACAACATTGGCAACAAAATGCTTGACACGGCGAGTGATTTCCCTAAGGAAAGACTGTTCTATTAGCAGTGCATATGCGTATTAAATCTGAAGTCTTCAGGTCTGATAGTATGAAAATTGCGCTGAAAAAGCGAAATCAATCAATCGATTATAATCGATTAAAAAGAAATCGAATAAGATATTAAAAAAATATGATAAACTTGTACTGTGTATGGTATATACGAGTATACATGCTAAATTTAAAATTTCTCTAGCTCTTATATCTTCTGAAATCTCGGAGTTCATATGCACGAAAAGACGGACAGGAATATATCGATTGAGCTTATCGCCTTGATCTACGATGCTTCATTCTGCCTGCCAGTTTTCGCAAAACCAATTTACCCTGATATCCCATTTTCAAAATGAATTCGTTTTCAAGGTATAATTAGCCAAATCAAGGAATTGGCTGTCCAAATCAAAATTAATTTTTTATTACATCATGATGTGGAAACTCAAACGAATGACTATTTTCCAGTTTAAATGTATATTTCAAAAGTTGCTTGTTGATATTTTAAAATATTTATTTTGCACTTGCTGCAACTTAAATATAGATCACGATATCTTTGATTTTATGTACTAGCGAGATATATAAATACATAACAACATGGTCAACTAATTAATTAATTATGCTATCACTTAGTTTAGCTTTAAACTGTAAATTTAAAGAGTTTTAACAACGGCATTTAACAAACATTGTTGCCGTAGCTAACAGTAAATATATATAAATATTTTTTTTCTACAGATGGAAACCTAGTTTAAACAGATTTGTTTGTGTCTTGTGTTATTGCATTTGCATTTGCTTCTGCTGCCGGCATGGTCAGCGCTATTTCTGGCGTATCGAGAGACTTCAGATGCTCCATTTCAATATCGGAACAGTTGTCAGAATTAGAGAGCGCCGAATCCATTGAGGTAATGGTCATGTCAACGGCTTTGTCACTAGCACTTGGACTAGCTGCCAGCAGAGGCTTCTCCGCAGCAGGTTTCGAGTCGGAATTGGGTTCCTCGTCCCGGGGATGTGCCACGAAGCTGTTGCTATTGATGTCTTCGATGGCCTTGCGTAACTGTCAAGTAAACATTTTGGATTAGCTAATGGACGGTAAGTATTTCAGAAGCAATTACCTCCTTGAGACCGACCACACCAACAAGACGTCCGATTTTTGTTACATACGCATGATTAATGCCCACCATAGAGAACAGCGAATGCACCTTGAGTATGGAGGTGCGTTCCACAAGTTGAAAGGGCGATGGATCTATATGTATCTGTGCCTTTTCTAGATCGATGGGTTTCTGCATTTCCTCCAGTTCCCATTGCTTCTGATCCTCTGGCGACATGTCTATAACACGTTCCCTTGGCTAGAACAGAGAAATGCATATAATTCAACATTTTTAGTTCAATTCTTAGTTATACGTATTTCGTTTATCGATGGATTTATCCTTAAATATATACATACCAATTGCACTGACTTTGCCTTTTTTGTAATCGTGCTCTGTGTAATATGTTTTGATTTGTTTGTGCATTAAGAGATTTACATATATATATATATATATATTTACAAGAACGGAGTACAATGCAAACAATAGAGAGAATAGAAATATAAATAGTTTTGGTTTAAATGTCGGATATAGAAATAATTGATCGGTTAGTATGGATTACAATACAAGACACTGATTTAAGAGAAGGAGAAATACAAAATATACAGAGAACAAATCAGACTTACCGTCTGCTCGTCATCGTCATTAAACTTATCATCGTCATCTTCTATCGTATAACCCATTTCATTTGATTCTTGATTATCGGATAGCTTATCCAGCGTACAGCCATGCAATGCCGAATCTTTAACTCTCACATCGCAGCTGAATTGAATTTTTTTCTTAACATTTCTTTGCTTATCTACGTGATTCTCGTTTAGAAGGGACACAGTAGCCGGTTCGTGGGTCTGTCTATTAATATCTGAAACTTTATTTGTTTTGTATTTAATGCAGGTCTTATCTGTATTCACATCGTTCAGCGGCATATTAATTGGTTTATACGAATCTGTTTTCTCTGTTATGGTAACATCTGTGTCATCCTTATCGGGCGGCATATTCAAAGCGTTACATATTTTATATTAATTTGCGATCAACAATATTAAATATAAATCTAAAACGTCGCGGAGATTGTTAAGCTCACTTATATAAATATATATTATGCATACATATGTACATATATATGTATGTATGTATATATGCAGAAGCTACAAGCAGGCTAGGCGATATACTGAGATCGAGTGAGTATTAGAGCTGATGCTGATACGGTACAGACACTCCCGAAAATTTATTAAAATGGTTAAATCAAAAAATTATTTAATATTTTGCCAATGTAATCTAAATTTTCTGATGCTGTTTGCTGCTTTCACTGAAGTAAAAAAAAAAAAAAAAAAAAAAAAAAAAAAAAAAAATTAATATTAAACGAGTGAATGCAATAACATCTACCTATATAAAATATTTGAATTATACATTTATAGTTGTTACCATTTTTTTGGCTGACTCCGATTTTGTAATAGGGTTTACTTGCTTGCAGATATGGAATGGGATAGGTGAAGGTGGACGGACACAGAGCGAGAAAGAGGTTCATCAGAATACCAAATAGTAAACGAATGCGTAGAGAAAAAGCGATGTAATTCTTATGTACTTACCAGCATGATCTGATCTGTGACAAAGTTCCAATTGTTTTGTGCTTGCTTGGAATGCAAATATATTTACAGAAATAAGCGCAACGGACAAAGTGAATTGAGGAGCCTAACTCCGTTAGTTATTAAGCACGAATCACCCCAGAATGCAGAATAGGAGCGTATAGCGAGCATGACTTACCAACTGAACCTTCTTGGATATGCCAGGTGTGCTGGGGGCACTGGGTGCACGTTGCCCTTGCACCTCATTGTTGCTTGCTGCCGGCGACATGGAGCCCATTTCCGGATCAGGCTGTACATCCTGCAGCGTGGTGGATTTCTTGAAGATGGCCTCGAATGCGGACCGTATACGAAACTCCGAATTGCCTGTTATCGTGGTGTACGGCGTAATGCTGGGACTGTGCGGCGAGGCGGGCGCGTAGGTCTTTAAGTTGAAGGAGTTGGTCTTCTTCAATATGGACTTGCGTGGCGTTAAGGAACTGTGTAGCGTCTCCGCCCGTTTCTTGGGGGGCAGCATCTCATCGTTGGCTATCTGCCGCAGACTGAGTATGTCTGGGGCGGGCAGCACTTCGAAGCGTGAGGGTCGACGCTGTTTTAGCTCAGCTTCTTGTTTTTTCTTTTCCTCTTCGAGGGCGCGCTCTTCGGCCTCCTTTTGCCACTTTTGCGCCACCTCCATGCGCTTCTCCCGTCCAATATGCTTCTCAATTATCTTGATCAGCTCGTACCGCTGCACAGAGCCAAGCAGTATCATATTTTCTGGACTGTCCACAAGCGGGAGGGAGCGCAGCGCCTTGTTGATCTTGAGCACCTCTTTAAGCTTTTGATAGGAGATACCATGCCAAATGTACTTCACGTCCCGCACCATGAAATCCTCCACAAAGATGCTGTACATGCCGGAACTAGATGGCAGCAGATCAGGCAAATACGGCAGCTTTTTAATCAGTATAATACTGTCGTAGATCGAGGGCTGCAGCAGCGATGCCACCGCATTGGCCACCAGCACGGCTATCATCACGGGCACAACGTGGGTTATCTGTCCAGTCATCTCAAAGATAATCACAGCCACGGATACCGTATGCGTCACAGAGCCGGAAAAGGCAGCTGCGCCGACAACGGCATAGCCACCTGGCATAATGGGTGACAATCGACCGCCGTAGCGCACGCCATGTGGAAACCAGGAGGCCATTAGTTCGCCCACCAAGCGACCAAATGCGGCGCCAATTTTAAATACAGGTATAAACATGCCCGATGGCACCGGGATTGTGGACGCTATGATGGAAAAGAAGAACTGCATGCAACAACAAGAAATTCAATAAGTATTTGATGGCATAGAGAAGGAAACGCATTCACTTGCCGTGAAGATGGTAAAGATCACCAGGTTGGCAAAGACGCTCGTGTAGCTGGTCATCCAGTGCGTGACAACGGCAGCCTGCTCCACAGTCAGATCACTGCGCGACCAGGTGAAATTGCTGAACAACTGCGTCACCTGTTCGTGTGTGCTGAGCTCCCCAGCTAAAAACTGGCCGGTGCCTAGGGGAAATGAAATGCTAGAGACCAACAGCGCCAGAAAGCCGGGATACAGAAAGCGACTAAAAGAGAGAAAATCAAAAGAGTTTGTATTTGATTAACGATATCGATATTTGAATAATGTTGCCGCAACAAGGTGTATCGGAGCAGTAACATAGGTAATCGATAAGTACTCACTTCTTTTGTAGAAATTTGTTCATGCGCTTGTTGGAGCGCATGAAAAGCACATATCGACGATGCACCCACACATAGGTGGCGCCACCTAAGCCGCAAACAAAGCTGTTGAAATGAAAATTTGAATTCAAAGATTATATGAAATGGCAATAGGCAACATATTGACTTACCCAATTAATGCAAATACAAACAGCTCCTGCGGATCGAAGGGAAATTCTGTGGTAAAATTGGTTAGGAATAGTGCGCGCACAGTATCCGCATTCTGGAACCACACAGCCAGCAGTCGAAAAACCGTCGCACCACACACGGCCGCAAAGAAACCGCGCCAATAATTGCGCACCGCAAAATACGTTGTGGTTACCTCAATACTAAACAGAACGCCTGCCGAATCGATCGATCCGTGTCTCAGCTTTTTAAAATTCTACTAAGTGGACTCTAGTACTCACCACCTACGGGCGCAGCAAAGCACGCGCCCACGCCGACGGCACAGGCAGCCGCCAGCATTTCAGAGTTGCGGGACTCGTTCTCATATATGCCTTGGAATGATGTGACGAGTTTACTTAATAATTGTGCTACAATACTTGCTATATGTACGAAAGGACCCTAGAGACGGGGTTAGTTTTGTATATATTTTTTCGATTGTAGAGTTTTCCAAAATGTGTGAATGGGTGTGTGTGTGTGCATGTGTGTGACTGTGTGGTTGAGTGGGTGTGCCATTAGCTGGCATCAATTTCTTATACTTACTTCCTTTCCTAATGGCATACCGCTGCCCAGAGTTGCCGTTAAACCAATTACCTTGGCCACTAATGTCTTAAATGTGAGATACTCTTTCAGCGCAACGCCGCGCAGTATGGTCTTCATTTCAGGTATACCGGAACCTATACATAGTCGAAGTTCAATAAAATGCAATATATATCTAGAATTTGCAATTAGCATGCGCTTAGTGCTCTGGTAAGTGAGTAAGTGAGTATATATACATCAATTAGTAAATTTGTTGTGCTCATTTATGGGGTAGTCATTTTCGAGTATAAGACATATAGACATTTAGTTGGGATAGTTCAGTTATTGGAGGTGCCAAGTGCGTTTGGTGCGGGCAGCTGCCGGATTGCAGTGGTACAGGGTTTTTATTAAATGCAAATGGGTATATTTCCATTGAAATTGTCTGTGTTTTTTAATTCTCCAACTGACATATATAAAAGTCTGCCTTAACATTTTGAACTATTATTTAGTTAAAAACAATTATATAAATTTATTTTCATATAGACATATGATTAGTTAAAGAAACCTATGGTAAAAATCTTTTGCTTCGATATAATGTCTAGTTTTTCTTTTCGAATCCTAAACAACCATCGAAGTAAGTAAGTAAGTAAAAAAATTAATATTGTTTTCAGTTTTTTGTTTATTTTTGCTTTGGAAAACTCGATTAACTACGAATTTAAAAACTACCAAATTATTTTAAAATTAAGATAAACCAAATATATTAAAACAAAAGACTATTTAGGTGATACGTTTTTCTATCATTCAGTCTTACTTATGCACAACACATAGATAATTAGATAATTAGTTCTGCACTTACCTATACTTTGCGGTGCGATGAGATGCACAAAGCCGGCTGAGAATAATATTAGACAGACCGGCAATGATACCCAAGCAATATACTGTATAAAGGGCTGTGAAGTAAGATCGCGATAGAGCCAAATACGAGCTAAAATGATATGTGAGCAAGGATGTGAATCAATAAGAATAGAAATTGGAGGTACAATGAGTGCAATGGTTGGCCGTGGGCTTACCATTTGTACATATTGATATGCCCTTGTCCATGATAAAGGATAGCAGGGCCATTATGATGCCCAGCAGGGCCAGGAATACCCAATCCTCGCCCAGCCGCGCCAATGTATGCTTCCATATCCATGATGAGATGCGTTTTATGCGCGTCGCTCGTTTGCCCAACAGTTCCTGTAAATATTTCCCAGCACTGCTGCTTTATAAACCGATGCGCTTAAAATGATCTTAGCATACGTATATATACCACATACATATATGTGTATATATACATATATAAGTTTGTTTAGATATTTCGTCGGGCATTACATGTAGTACTGTATGTAGCTACCACTATCAATGGGATCTATTGGGATCTATGCCAAATTATTCTTGTGCAGACTCAAAATGGCGTTTGTGAATTTCATGAATGCGAGTAGTTTGCATAATTTTCGATGTTAAGTGAATATATAGAGTATATTGGAATTTGGTTGTCTATAAAAATTGTATGCTTTACCTTAAGTATTTATATATTGCTCAGTACGTTAGGCACGTTATAATATATAGATTGTCACATGATTAATTTTTTAAAGAAATTATAAATTTATATACATACTCTCTTTGTTCTTATATTTAGAATTTACCTTATTTCTTTGTTTATCTTCTTGCTTTCTTCGCTTTTCGAGTAGTTTGAGTTTTCTGGCTTCATCTTTAGCAAATTCTCCTAGATCTTTCGTATAACGACCATACATCTGTGAATTAATAATAATTATAAGCACTCAAATGATATATTATATATTTTCTTATACTTATTAGGCTTCGTTGAATGCCTCTTCAATTGTGCAAAACAATGGAAATTAAATATAAATAAACGTTGTCCACCATCCTCCAAGAATACCAACCACTTACTAACGCATTCGTTTCACTTGTTGATCATTTTGGCAGCAGCCAAAGGTCCCATACATATAAATAACTTGAAAACTCTCGTCTTTTAAAATAAACCAAACAATACAAAAAGCGTGCTCTAGCCAGCGGTGCTCGACTAGTATATACCAGAAAAAATTATAAATATCTCGCTAAAAAAGAGATAATCTCAGATGAGTGGCTTGAGTGAGTCGATCCCGAGATCTGAGACCTTAAAACTCTATTATGCCATATCGCAATATAAATGTGTATTATAAGTTGATCTTCTCATCGCACATCATACCCTAGCTACGCCCTTTACAAAATGTGCAGGGTATATAAAAAAGCCAATCAAAATAAAAATATGCATATAGATCAAAAATAACATAAGAGAGCGCATATCTCATAAGCAACGAATTTTCGTCACGAAACGATTTTTATTTGCGGAAATTCCCATTTCATGGATGAAGAGCATAGCAACGAAAAAAGCCATCAAATTCGCATATTTTAAGAAATTGACAATGATTACGCAGATAAATGCTCTTTGACAAATATGTATTTATATATGATTTTAAAAATATAAGAGAGCGAACAATATAAGAGTAATCTATTTGCGTGAGCTTGGAGATTTAATAGAAAGAGAGGATATATGCATAGATGTATGTAATACGTGTGAAAAAATATATATAGATTCAGCCAATTAGAAACAAATTATTTTTCATTAATTCATGACAACTTATTCACGAAACATAAACTATAAAAAACTGTTGGATGATAAATTGTTTATATATTCTCTAAAACTCAATATTTGTAATATTATAATTTAAAGTCCATCCGTAGACCCCGAATGCCTTAACTAAAATTCATTGACAGTGCAATCTGAAAGTCGTGTACGAAAGGTCCCCACCACATATGCCATGGTCAAAACAAAAGCCAAATAAATATAAATAATTAGGCATGCGACAAGAAAGAACATGAAAAAAGAAAATATCGCAAGAAAATATAAGAAATGCAACAAAAATAAAATAGCAGAAGAACGAGCAACGTAGCTAATTTCCCAGAGGTCTGGGCGAAGGTCTCTTTAGCCTGGGAAAATACATATGTCTGCATTGGGTAGAGAAACAGAATTTTGCAGTTTTTGCATAGCTTTTTGCTGTAAATAGATCTGGTTCACTGTACAGTACACACACTTAGATCTAGAGAGCTGAGAACTAGCTAAGCTGTTTTCGTATTCGAGTTTTTGAATATCCTTATATCAAAAATATGAATATTATTTAATATTGAACGTTATTTATTTTTTTAAATGTGAGCTAGTTCCATTCACTTGAATTTCGGAATTTATTTACCGATATGCTCACAGAACTCAACGATTCAATTTCGAACGCACAAGCTGCCTCAACAGTTGCAATCCTGATTATATTTCCCGATGTACCCAAGAAGCGTAATTAAAAACAAAAAAACAAAAAATTGATCCACTTTACTGACTTATCATGGAACGATTTCTGTTCCATGAACTGTTTTAGCAATGAAGGCTCTCATTATTTTAATTTATTTTCGTTGTCAAGTTCGAGTTGAGTTCTTTGTGTGTTAAATGGGAGCTAGTTCCACAAAAGTATATTATTTAGTAATATTATCTTACATAGTAGAACGCCTCAATTTCAAACTCAATTTGATTCTTGTCATCGCTCTCTGTTTCAGCGGACTTGCGTTGCTGTTGTTGCTTCTGCTTCTGTTTGGCAATGGCCTCATCCCAGCGCAGGCGAACGGGAGTGGAGGGTGCTTTTTGGGCGCGCTGCTCCTCGCGCAGATATTCCTCGCGATTGATCAGCAGCTCCGGCTCGAAGGCGTATTCGCGAATGTACTCATCCTGGTGAGTGCGACTGTTGTTGAACATGAAGCAAACCGAATTTGAATACGTTACGAATTTCGAAATTCGAATAGACGAATGCGATTTGTTTTGTGATCGTTCAATGTTAGATAGTATTGATCTTATATATGTTGTTGATGTTGCTTTTGTTGCTGTTGTTTTTGTTGTGCTGCGTGTCAGTCGGTTAGATCTGTATTACGGCCTTTGACATGCCTGTGGCTGTTGGCCGAATTTCTGTTTCGCATTTTGTTGCCAATTATTTTTAGTTTTTCAGCTTCTTCTTGCTGTTGATTTTTCACATTGCAAGTCGCCGTAATTACATGTCGCTGCCCTTGAGGCGCGCCCCGTCAACATTTGTAAATTTTATCGCAATTATTTTTAACATTTTTACAATCAGATTATATGCCACAAGATTTCAGCACAATTCTCATCGGTACTCAAATATCTTTTAACACTGATTTATGCATATTTTCACTGCTTTTTATTTAAATTGATATCCACACAATAATTTGCAACGATTTTCCTCAGTATTTTCTATTGATTTTCACGCATTTGTCCGACACCGACGCTGCGTTCTAATCTTTGGGAAAACTTTTTTAAAACTAAAACGGACATGCTCGCGAGCTTTTCCGCTTGTTGAAAAATTATTGAAATTTTCTTTCGACCACACACTAGACGCTGTGCATTGCCCAGGGTAACCAGCTGCGCCCGAAAACTCTTAACATTGAATATAAACCATAAATTGTTAAAATGCTCTCAAATGTGTTTACCCATTGTTAAGAAGTTCAAGTACATTAAACATTTTCACAATTTCCTATAAATAAATATTGATGAAGTTTGAAAAAAGAGCAACAGAGGTTTTTTATAGACTCTTCTTTTAGTTTATGTTTTCCATTTAACAGTAGGAAAATTTGAAAATTTGTCAAAATACTTTTTTAAAACAAGCTAAAGTATACCTGAATTATTTGTTTTCTTTGGCTAGCCTGGTTACCCTTTCGTTTGCAACCTACTACCTTCGACAGTGAAATAATTTCTTAACTTATAATAAACGCTAAATATTATTCATTATAATCCGATTAAAAATAGCAGCATATTTTTTGCACCTCTCTGCATTCTCATTCATTATTTTTCATTGCTTCTGCACATCGACTGGGAAAGGGAAAACACGCCAAACAAAAATATGCGAACGCTGTCGCTGTATACCCTAACATTCGACTGTAAGAGAAGCAGGGAAGGGTCTATACTCTTAGATTATTTTCAATGTTTGACTTTCCTCTGTTCTGTTCTTTAATGTTTTACTTTGTACGATTTTATCTATAATGTTCGGAAAATTTTAGTTGATTTATGGTTATTATGATTATATCAATCTCTGAGCAATAGACTTCAAATGTATTCTCCCTGTTGTTCTATCACTACGTCAATATCATAATTGAGCCCATCAGACATTGCCAAAGTGAGCAAGATTAATATAACTGATATATACGCAAGAGGCAGACAGATTGTTATTGAATTGCTGGGTGAATAGACCATTCATATCCGATATAAAGATAAGGCGCTGTTGGCGCTTCGGTTACCAGGTACACCTAGTTAAAGAAATCTTATCACTTAAGCGGATGGCTTACTTAAATAGATTAATACGATCGTTTACATCGATGCCTACTGGATGGCTATATAGAAATATATATGTATTGTGCTTACAAGTGTGTCGATATATCCAAACGGATCATCGTCATCGGATGAGTCAGAATCGGGTCCATTTTCGGCTGGCGGCGGACACGGATAGAATGCCTGCGACTTGATTTTCGGGTGTTTCTGGACATGACGCAGCTCCGTCTCCATGGATATGTTACTGTTACGTCTCTGGCGCAACTGACGAATGAACTTCTCAAAATCGGCCCACTCGGAGTCGACCAGTTCGACATTCTCTTCACCAAACTCTTCATCGTGTATGATACGTTCGACTTGCTGTTTGGTTTTGGCTTTGCCATTGCGATCACGATTATCGCGAGTGGCAAAGTACACCATGGCTGCTTGTGTCTGTGTATGTATATATCTGTGTGGGTGTGGGGTGAATATAGCTGAAGAGAGAGCAACGCGATATCGATACGACGCACGAGGTTAAAAACTAGTTAATCGATCGTGGCTATTGCCATGGCTTTGCGGGCCTTTGAGGGCTAACGAAATCCTCGCTTTGCTAAAGCAATGGCATTAATTAAGCGCTTCCCGTATCAGCTCTACACTGTTGCATCCGTGAGATAAAGTATCTTTAGCTGCGTGCGTCTTCGCATCAAGTTTAGAACTGAACTGAATCTGCGGCAGACTCGTCTCGATATTGTTTCGCTTAAGCTCAAGATTCTACATAAAATGTGGCACAGAGTCTCAAGTGCTTAGAACCGACATGCACTTATCCCCTCCGTCTACTCACACACACACACAAGCACACACGCATACCAACACAAGCAACCGCACTCAAGCGGTCAAAGTTTGTGTGTAAAACATCAATAAAATTTCATAAATTTAATAATTTGTGCCGCCTGGGCTAGAGCAAAAGTGAAAATGCCACGGCGCACAGTGGTGCGAAGGCTACGAAAACTGCTGACCAGCCACATTCTTGACTGCTTATTTCACATATGTATTTATATATTATTTTTTATTAATTTGCTTTACATCTTGCCCCACTGTGCCTTGTCACTTAAGCAGCTCAAATTGAGTCGACTTTTCGCCGACATCATCTCGCTTTAAACTCTTCAAGTGTTTTTTTTTTTTTTTTTTTTTTTTCAGTATATGTACGTGTGTAGGTGGATTATGCACATGGCACCGAGTCACATGTCTGTGATTGTCTATGCGGCATTTTCTCAGATTCAAATGTATCTTTCTTCAGATTTATCTTTTTTGCTGCTCTGTAAGTGTCGTGAGCCAGTGCAAAGTTTGGTTTTGATTGAATTGCTCAATTTAGTGCGACGCCTGTCCGAATGACGGCATTAATGATGTGCCTAACCCTAAATAGGTTGAATACTCTGTCGCAGATTATACTGGGTGATCAACAAGCGCGATGCAAACACCCAACATTGCTTACTCAATATAGATCCTACATTTGAGATTAGCAAATTATACGATCCAATGATCTTTAATCATTCAGTCCACGCGACAGTGCTGAAATGGGTCGCTCAGTAAAGTGGCAAAAGCACAAAAATTGTAGAAAAGGTTTGGAATATTCGAGAAGATCATATAAAAGCACAGAAAGCAGGAGACAAGACTTAGATAGATGGAAAGAGAGATAGGGGTCAAGAGTAAGAGTGAGAAAAAGCGAGCAAGGGGAAGGATGGTATATAGTTAAAGATAGGGAGAGTGCAAATATACAGATATAGAGGGAGAAAGAAAAGGGAAATATGGAGGGAGTCAACGAAAGAGAGAGAGAGAGAGAGAGAACGACAGGGACTGATAAAAATAAGAAACGAAGGAGATGAGAGCCCCACTTTATATAATATAATGTAATTTATATATAATCTGAATAATGAATGAAATAATATAAATATATACATATATGTTAATTTTAGAAATCGTTTCGAATTGTTTTCAAAGTAAGGAGTTTATCATTCATTTTTTTGTGTCCAACAGTACTACTACTAATATTGTTGTTTAAACGAATATCAGAATTAAGATTTTAAGTTTAAGTTTGTTAGTTTCAATATTATTATATTAATTCTATTCGCAAAATCTTTCTACGACTGAAGATAAGAAAAGAGAAGAAATGCCTAGAAAAATGGAGATTTTCGCCTAATAATTCCAGTTACCTTTGCGTCATATGGTGGGACGATAACTATTATCCCATTATATCAGTTTATTTCAATATCTGAACGCGCACATTCCCAGAACGACATCAATTCACATTAAGGGGGAAAATTGAATTGCTTGCCACTTCCATTACATTCATAAATCATTTAGTATATACAACTTAGAGATTTACTTGCATAGTATAAGTCCTATACGTAAATGGAGGATATATTAAATTTATTTATACTTATAGTTCAAAATAATATTTAAGATATCTCTATTGTATTTCTCTATAGTATTGTAGCTAATTTGTGAATTATTTATGTTGTTACACAGATAAATGAAGGCTCGTCTCTTATGGAAACCAAATCAAAAATATTAATCAATTTATTAGAAACTGTTATAAGAAAGCAAAGGGTCACTTGCTTTTTTCGTTCTTCGAATGATTATCAAATCAAATCTTTGTATATGAGTTCATGGTATCATAGTCTATTGCAGGACTAAATCTTTATTTTACAGAAATAAATTTCAATTTCAAAATATATTTTTTGTTTAACTAACAAATTTTTGTAATTTTTTTAATAAATAAGTTGAATTTGTATATTTTTAGTGTCAACAAAATTTTAGCTTTAAATTTTCCGAATATTGGACAAACCTTAAGATTACTTTTTAACATGATTTTATATTTTTCGAATTATAAGGAAACAAAAAAGGCACAGCCAACAACAGAGTAAAGTGAACTTGGCCACAATTCCAGGGCAACTGAAGATCATGGAAGATGTCTGGCCGCAGCCGTAGATTTCAGTGTTCAACAGCTTCCCAATCCCGATATTCGGGCCAAGATAAAGGCGTGAATAGCGGCAGCAACAACAACACCTGTGCAAAAATTAATTAAAAATGTTAACAAATAACGTAATCGTGTAATATTTGCACAGATTCTCGAGATAAATTCAAAACTTATGTAAGTAGAATCAAGAATTCAATATTATCGCAAATGCAATTCACATTTATGGCCCGAGCCAACTGTTTGGTAGCGAAATAGCTGCCGACAGCTTTTAAGGCCCCGCAATAAAGCACATTGTTAATTGTATTAAACAATAAATCGACCATAAACATTCATAATCAATGAGTGCAGCCGCAAAATCAAATCGATTCGGATTTTACGCCTCAATCGTCGCCCCTCCTAAATCAAAGTGATTGCCGATAGGGAAGTTCTTTTGATTGATGATGATGGCTTACAGAGCTTAGGCCAGATAAGCCCCAACAATCAATGATCGAACAACTGTAAAGTATTTAAAGAAATTAAAAATTCTAAAAATCTTTTAAGTAATCTATGTATAAAAGGTATAAGGGGTTCCCAAGTTCGACTATTATATGATTTTTATGTGTTAGTTGTAATTTGGTCCCTCATACGCCATGTTGTTCACAAAGTGCCCTTATTTTCTGACTCTCCAGATGGACTCTGAACATTTTGATGTTATTGATTGTGACCCTCTAAAACAAAATAAAATATCGCTCTGATATAAGCCCACATATTTAATTTATTTTCGATAACCATTCTCTACTCTCCAATCCACTCAAGACAACTATTAACTATTAACATTATTTATACGGCTCGTAGCCATCATGTAGTATTCCTCATTTGATATAAAATAGAAATATTGCACTTTGTGTAAACATTGAAAATGAATTTGAACAGCTTTGAAGCACAATAAGAAACATTTCATTAATACAATTGTCGGCAAGTTAAAAAGATTCCCAAGTAATACCCATATTAATGATATTGTCAACTGAAAACAGTTAGCGCATTTGGGAAACAATTGAATAGCAATTTGGATTTTCCTACTAATGTCAAAATAATAATAAATGAGCTACGGAAATAGCCGTTATCAACTAGGCTTACGTAAAAAGTAAATAACGCATGAGCCTCGCGAGTAATTAAAAATCCGATTTCAATTCCTTTTGAGTTAACATAAACAGAGTGGGTTCAGGGCATAAACACGAGTTTAGTTTGTTTATTCATTAGGCGATAAATGCTAAATTGCAATCGTTGTGCTAAATCAATCAATCAATCAACTCGATAGACGTTATAAAAGTATAAAATAATTTATGAATAACTTATGAGTAKCAAATTTTTGGACAAATTTTTATAAAAATCAGAAAAATATGGCGCTGGCAATATTTATGAAATTATGTACGTAACAAGAATGAAGATTTAAAAATCGTCTTTACCTTTACTTAATGCGCAAAAAGATTTTAAGAAATCTCAGGCCTTATCTTAAATAATGTAAACAAGTTATTATTCCTAGCTGGGATCTGTATGAGCGCGTGCCAAAATCGTTAATCGCCAGAGAAGGGATCTCTGACAGCTTTCAAGAGCCGGCAGAGAGATCTGAGCAAATGTTTGTTTTATACTTATGCTATTTTTGGCGACCAGCTCTCACATGCTAATTATTTCTTATCACACAACAAACGCTTAATCATAAGATTTCTAAAGCAAACAGATAAGCTGACGACCCACTCGCAGCATCTACAGCAAAGCAGCGCGCTAAGGTCAAACAACTTCAAAGGGAATTTGAATATAATTATGACTATATTCTTAATTTGTCATGTCGATGATGCAAAGTTATGTATTTGTATATTTATATGTACAGCTTATTTAAGAATATTAGATTATGAACAAATACAATCGGTTATATACATATATAAGCAGAGTGAACGCTATGCCTGTTCATCAGAGCAAGAGAAAGACCAAAACAAAAGCTGCGTAAAAATGCGACTGACTGGATAGAATACCTATATATTTAAATATATATACTATATTAAAACGGTTGAATTATTTTGTTTCTGGGGGAACCCCTTGCCAAATTTAAATAAGTATGACTTATACACAAATGAATATGTATATGAATATATATGATACGTCATGTATAACCAACAGGTATGCCGAGAGAAACCCCGTTGGAGTACGCTCGTACACATGTGCGTCCATACATATTTGTCTTTGTTCAACTGGTTGTCTTGTTAGCCTAGCCTGCCAGATCATGTGTTCGATCTGTGTTCGTAAATCTGATCATATGATCTGGAAAGTCATGTGGTCGCGCTTGGAAACCAAAATAAATAAGATTACAAATCTATATAGTCATATCTGTCGGGCATATAGAAAGTATACATAGCTCGACTGGGACAGAGATTAATAATGTGATTTTTGAGGTTCAAGGCTGTAAATACTAAAATATTTACCCTTTTTTTTTCAATATATTGAAAAAAGTCCAGTCAAATTACAAAAAATAAATGATAAAAAATATAAACTATATTAAAAAGTTTCACTTTTTGCATTAACTCACCAGAGTGTGCGTATAGCCCAGGCCCTCCTCGGAACCATCTGGGCTCTTGTTGTGATCGTGGTCGTGACCCATATTGAAGCGCAACGAGGACGCATTGGAGCACGTGCGCAGGGGCAGCGTGTGATTCGGCGAGGGCACGAGGAGCAGAGATTCATGTCCATTTTTATTTGATTTTGTGTTTGAACTCTTGTTGAACATGTTGCAATATCACAATTAGATGCTGTTGCCTTGAATATTAATGTATTGTAGGTGGAATTCCACTCTTTGCACTGATTTTCTTTTGTTTATGTATTTTTATTGGCGTTGTTTACTTTGGATTTGCATTCACTGTGCAGATTCGCGTTTTGCTTTGTTTTTTCACTCGCACTTTCTTTCCGCATTGCGTTTGACTCTGCTGTGGGCTCTGCGTATGCGTCACATGTGAAAATGAAATGAAATTCCTTTTGCTTGTGCATTAAATTCAATTAGCTGCACTTTTGTGTTGCACCAAGCGAGTCACAAGATCGACTTCCTTTGCAGCGGCAGAGATGCCAGCGCCAACGTCAACGTCAACGGCAACGCCAACGCCACAGTCACAACACATCCCAAGCTCTGCCGCGATTCTCGATTGCAGAAAGTTGGGCGCACTGAGCGGGAGTGCAGCCAACGCCGCGACGCGTCGTGCTCCGTCTCTTCTACACACACACACACACACGCACTATTACTTTAGCGAGCAATATCGAAAATGCGTTCAGTTTGCGCAGCAGTTGACTCCGACGGCGGCGTTGACAGCGCGTTTGTTGTTGTTGCTGCTGCTGGCGTCGCTGGTTACCGGCAAAAACCTTCACTTCTTATAGCTCTTCCTCTTCGTCTTCGGCTACGAATAATAGTTGCTGCTGTTGTTGCTATTGTTTGGCACTGCGATAGTGGGCGAGTTTGTGGGCGGGGTGTTCCGAGCTATGTGAAGTGGCGCACTTGAGTGTGTGACGGCTTAATTAGGCACGACGACAACAAAAATTGTCAAATGTATCACAGTTTCATTATCAGTTCTATCTGTGCTATCTGCGCCCTGGATTAACGCCAAATGCGGACAGAAATTAGCAACAATTATTTGTTTTTTTGCTTCTTCTTTTTTGTTGTTGTTGTGCTGTTTTTCCTGTCTGGAATTAATTAACTATGCCAATATATTATGGTCGTGTATTTATTGTTTTTGGCTGGAATGATATACAAATAAATAGCATATTGTAAATAACTGTGTATGAGCTGCTTTATTAGCTAAGCTAATTAAATTATGCATGAGCAAACATTACACCCACCCCCATTTGCCGCACTCTCTCTCCCTCTCTCTCTCTCTGTCTCTCTCTTGCAGCTTACTAACACTAAACACCCAACGATCGCCCACACATGTAAATTAGCTGTGAATTGGGATGCAAAACAAGTTTTGTGCTTATTAGAGAGAGTGTGATAAAGAGTGAAAGAGAGAGAATGCCATATGATAAAGATTACATGCAGAGAGTGTGAATTAAGGAGAACATTGCTTTGAAAGCCGCTGCGATATTGCAGCGGTACACTTGTATTGGTGAACTTTACACTAATTAACAGGATTAGCGAACAGCACAATATAGCCTACTATGTAAAATACAGTCTTCAGAACGCTTACAAAATCTGGAGTTTAGTAATTTTACGTGTTGACAAATTCATTCGTAATACTAACTGTATTTTGGAAATCACCTGCTTATTTGTCTTCAAACTGTTTATTTGCAAAAATACGTAAGATACGAATCTTGTTGAGCAGTGTTAAAGCACTCTCTAATTACTCAAAATGAGATCAACTCGCGTAGAGAAGACACTGAGAAAATACAACTTCAGTACAATTTTATCTTGGTGCATTATTTTTCTCTAGAGGGAACTCACGAGGCCATTTCCCTACTAAATGGTCCGGCAATGGTCTTATCGTATACCAAAAACTGAGTAAACCAGAAATTTCAAAGCCAAGTGCCCAACTGGCTTTAATTTACAATCGCTATATTGTAAAAATTAAAGCATACACTTGCAAGTTCGTGCCTACCTACGAAGATTTATTAAAATGCCTTAATCTTTTGTCAGCATTATGACGACAAATTCGAAAGATTTATGAAACAGGCGCAGAACACTTAGCAGTTATACGACGAGGGTAAATACACTTACATATGTCTAGCTGTGGCATTTGCATACAAAGTTCTTATTTGCGTTACAGCAAAAAATCAAGTGTAAAGCGGTTTTAGCCAGTTTGAATTTTTGATATTTTTTATATACTTGCACGTATTTTTTCAGTCCAACCGCTCGCTGATAATGAGCTGCAAACACTCAAATTTTATACGATTTTTATTTTGCTTTCGAAGCTAATGTGAATTATTTATATATATATTTAACAAAAATTAAAAAAACTGCATTATTCAAATGTGTGTCATTTGCATACTAACTATATGTATATATATATTTATATATACTTTTGCTTCTATATGTTATTATTCACTCCATTCGGCTTATATTTCATTTTATGATACTGTGAAAATCCAACAAATTATTGTTGACTGTTTCAATTCTATAGATTTTATTTTTTTCACTTGACAAGGTGCTAAAAATAGTTTATGTATTTCATAAATATATTTTATGTAAATCATGCTGATCTGATTTTTATTTGTTTATTACTTTATTTACTTGCTTTTTATTGTAATCGTATTAACAGCCAGATTTGGGGTTAGTTTTTAGTCGATTAGTTGAGTGCGATCATTTTACGTTTCCTATTATGAATGATCTATAATGGGAATGTCCGATAGGCGTATAAAAGTGCCTGCTCAAGATTCACGTTTATTTAATTAAAAAGCTCTTCAAGATTTTTAGCAATCAATATGTTAAGCTGGCTCTTGAGCCCTAACAAGTCCGCTTTACTAAACACTCATATGTAGAGTATTTTCTTCTTCTTTTTTTGTATACTCTGAACCCGTTGAAAGTGGGAATTCAGGGTAGACTGATTTTGTTTTTTCTTTGCACAAGTTGAAGTGTTGGAATTTTCTTGTTAAAAAATGAAGGGAATGACTTATGACTTAGAAATGTTAAAATACTTGTGTCTAATATTTAGTTGTAATTTTGATACACATTAAACGGTTTGCATGTCAATGTATATAGAATACAATCATTCAGTTTTGCTCGAAATAATTTACACGGTACATAATTTACTGGTATTTAAATATAATTAAAATAACAACAATGAAGCCAATTTTGCGGGGTATAGAAAACTGTGCAAAGCCCGTAATTCGAAATCCCCTCTTCTGCACCACCCTTTGATCGCACCTGTGTCACCTGTTGAGCGCGTGTTTTAATTTGTTCACTTCTATTGTTGTTGCTGTTGCCCAAGACACTTGCTGTTGCTTTTGTTATTGTTGTGGTTGTGAGTGCGCATATTCCGCTTGATTGACGCTTTGATTGATTCGGTTAATTTGCTTTGTTATGCTATTAGCCACGTTCACTTTGCGTATTAGCTGAAAGTTTCCCGAGCTGACAGAGCGATTCTAGAGCAGCTCCGTTGTCAACGCCGCCGTTTCGCGTTCTGACATTGACTGCCGGTGTCGTCGTCGTCGTCGCCGGTGCTGCTAGCTCTGTTGCTGCTGCTGCTGCTGCTGCTACTGCTGTTGCTGTTGTTGTTGCGCCTGCCATCGTTGTTGTTGTTGTTGGGTAGTTTGGTTGCTGCCGGACCCGGTTATCACCTTCGGTCAGTTCGGCAGCTCGTTCCGTTTCGATTGATGACGTTGCTGATCAGCTGATTTGCATTCGAGCAAATTTTGATACACCCATTGCCTCTCTAATTCGAATTGACTTCGAATTTCATTCGCATTCGTCGGAAATTTCACTTCGTTCGCCGTGAAATTCACATTGCTACATTATTTATGAATTTTGTTTTGTGTATTTTATAAACATATTATTATATTAACTTAAGATTACATGTTCTTTTACTCTCATTTATATAAATCTGGCGCACGTAAAGAGAGAATCAATATATGTATGTATTTTAATCTTTAGTAGCTCTAGACCTGTCCCAATGCAGTATTTTTCAGACTTTCGCATAGTTAAACAACTTGTTTAATGGGTGAAATTATTGGGGTTTTGTATAATGAAAAAAATGTCGGGGATTTTTGTTATAGTTATTCCATTTAACAAACGGCATTCGAATTTAACCAAGATGAGTGTAACAATTCGCAAATTCATTTGCTGCCATAACATCGATATATGTAAATTATGTATATTTATATTAATTAAAATCGAATCGCTATATTGCTGAATCGTGTGCAATATAGACTTGTGTAACGATTTCAAATTAATTTGCTGCCATAAATTCGATATTCATATATTATTTATTTCCATACTAACTGAAATCGAATCATCAGTTCTCAGCACATTAATTAACACCCCACACAAGGGCATAAAATCTTCGATATCCCAACTGATAATTGTGCTTTACAGCTACTAATTATAGCTACTACCACCACCGATGCCATTACACCTACAGTTAATGATGCTACGATTAATTACATTTTTGCATATGAGTGTTCCGTATTCAGAATTGTAATTCGTATAGCTAAATTTTACAGCTTGACCATATTTCTAAATGTTCCATATAATCACATATTCACGCTTGTTGTGTAAATTTCAATAATTTTTATTGTTATTATAATTGTCACATTAAATAATAGTACGTGCGTTTCATTCGGAGGAGAGACGATGCGCAAATATTTATTATTATGATTGAAATATGTTAAATAGAATTGAAATTTATAATAATAGACAACTCTAGGCAATTTACAAGCAAAATTTTATTTAAAATATAATCATATACAAATTAAAAAAAAAAAAAATACTAATATAATTTTGTAGAAAAAACAAAAATCTCTAAAAAACTCTATATCCGCCCAACCAAAACTCGTATTCAATCAATTCAATATTTAAGAAATAAATATAATATTTAGAATAAATATATTATATTATAAATATCGACTACATAGTAAACTGATTTAATATCCCGTAAACTGTTTATGTGAATCTTAAGCTTTACTCGTGCTGGATTATCGTGCTTTCACATACTTAAATATGAAATTGCTAACTTAAACACGATACGATTTGACTTATAAATTACGAGTACTTTCATAAATAAACTTTGCACACACGCCTCAACAATCAGATAAAGGCAAAAAAGTCAAACAATTGAGTTTGAGTTTTCGTTTGTTGTCGAATCGTGAAGCGCATAAATAACCTGGCAAATAGATATTGCTGATTAGAGCGTTATAATTTTCGGGTATATGTAAAGATGTTCATATCTCCTTCTTTTGTCACGTAAATTTATTATGCCCACCATTTAAAATGGCTGATAGTAATACAAGACCCAACCCATAAGAAAGAACAAAAGCAGATCTTCCAAGTGTGATCAGAATGTTGATAGACCCCTTTTTACAGTCTGGTATGTGACGGCATTATCTATTTCGGGTCTCGTACATATTTTATTGACATATAATTAGCGAAAATTATCATTGACGTTGTCGCTTAAGCATAACTTATCTATCTGACATTACAGAGATACCAATAGTATACTTATTTAGGTGGAAGAAAGTGAAATGCGTTATGAGATCAATTTAGTTTTGCTAACGTCAATTGGATTAAGATTGCAATTGTAATAGCGTAAATTCCTAGAAATATGATTAATGCAATATATAATATATAGTGGAAATATGTATGTCGACTGCTCTAAGTATTAGCTATAAATACTTTATCATACATTATGTCTGGAATTTCTATATATTTTAAATGCACAACCACAACTATTATTCTTCTAGTATACACATACATACAGTATGTATAAGTATGTATTTTAAAATATATATTTTTCAAACTAAATATTTTCCCCACAATCAACTAACAAAATTTTAATTAGCAAGAAGAAAAAGAAAAATTTGCATACATAACATTTTAATGTTGTTTCTTTTATATTGGAGAGTAATCAATTTTTTTTGCAATATTTTCCCTAAGCGTAATATAGGGAATATCGCTCATGTTTTCTAACTGACATTCGTTTTAACACTTTCATTCATTAGAAGTAGATCTCGAAATATTATATATTTTATTTTGAGTTACATGTTAGCATATTTTTCCTTGTCTCATTTCTCACCTGGAGAGCGGATAGAAAAAACAATAATAGTCTATTTGAATTGACACTTTTTTTTGCCTTTTGCAATGTTACGGCGCTACAATAAATAAACCGTATTTGCTTTAGATATTCCACATTATGTATGAGTATATACTTATTTCTACTGTATTAACAATTGTTTTTACTTGCGTTCGACTAATTTATGGGCGACGTTTAACGAAATTGCAATTTGTTTGCCCCTTCGCGTCACCTTCCGTAGAATTTTAGAATTGTGGAATGCGCGCGCGATCGCCACAATAAGAAAAACAATAATGCAACTGCCGCGACGTTTGTTGACCAAGTCTACAGTATTGCATGTATGTATATAGTATGATCTGTTGCTGATCTGGATTGCTATAGTATATATACCTATAATTGGTACTGTCTGGGAAATAGTACTTGCTTCTCCAAGTTGATCTTGGACTGAGAGAGCTTGCCACGATGCTTTTCAATTGTGGGCAAATATTTATTTGAAATAAAAAAGAATGCTTAGATGAGACCCAACATCAGGCTAGTATGATGTGGGCTTCGAAATATGAAAATTAATGAACTGATTCAGACAGTAGTTTTTATATATTATATATACAAAGCAATACAATCCACATACATATTGTATAGTACGAGTGCTACAAATTCAAGTCCTTATTTATATATATAATTAGAACTTCTTAATATTGTATTATCACTCGTTCTAAATATTATACAATATGAATAAATGCACGTGTACTACTACATCTTATATCTATCTATAAATTCAATCAAGACTATTATTAAATGCAAATTTATTTGTTGGTTTATAAATTTTATTGTATAATAGCTGTTTACAATTTTTTTGTTGTTGTCATGTCAGGATCATTGATTCAGAAATTAAAATAAAATTGACATTTGTTTGTTCCTATTCCATGTGTCTTGTTATATTCCTACTTGAGGGACGGGGGCCGTCTAGATTGTAGATACATTTTTGCTTAAATTATTTAAAATATGCGTGTATGTGGGTGTGTGAGTGGTTTCATTAGAATTGAAACGTCCCAATTCTTTTCACAAGCGACATGGTCTCTGCCCCTTGCGGTATCTGCTATGGTGCGTTCGATAGTTGTCCGCCGTTCAAATGTGGCCCACAAACTTATAAAATACTTGCGTTTACATTAACGTATGAAAAATTATGGAATTAATGTAAAAGGAAGCGTTTAAATACGTCGAGAGAAGCCACCGCCACCTCCGGCACCACCACCACCGCCGCCRCCATTGCCAGCTCCAATGCCAACACCGCCACCGCCGCCTCCAACGCCCGAGCCGCCGCCACCGACATTAACACCGCCGCGAGTTTTGCCATCATAAAAGAGTTCAATATAGCGGGAGCCCATTTGCTCGCGATGCCTCTTCATGGCCAACTGCGAATCATCATATGTGTCAAAGTAGGCGTCAGCGGTTCCACTGTGCAGGCCCTTCTTATTGTAGTTGATGCGCACGTTGGCCGGACGTATGGGATCGAAGAACTGTCATATAAAATAAAGCATATTAGCTTGAAAGATCCGTACAGCTGTTTGGAGTTCAACACTCACCTTGAATACGTCATTTTCGAATGAATTATAGGGCAGTCCTCTCATATGAATGGTGTAATATTCCACATCATTGTTGCGACCCCCTCCAATGGGTCCGAAGTTGCCACCGGCCGATCCAAAGTTGCCACCATTGTTGAAGCCGCCGTTGTTAAAGCCGCCGCCACCATTGTTGAAGCCGCCACCGCCGTTGTTAAAGCCACCAATACCATTGTTGAAGCCGCCACCGCCACTGTTGAAGCCACCACCACCGGAATTGTTGGGAAAGTTGCCAAAGCCGCCGCCACCTCCGTTGAAGCCACCGCCGGAGTTGCCGCCATTGTTGAAACCACCGCCGCTGCCCCCATTGTTGAAGCCACCAACACCACCTCCACTGTTAAAACCACCTCCGCCACCGCCACCTGAATTGTTGCCAAAATTACCAAAGCCGCCGCCGCTATTGCCAAAGTTTCCTGGCATATCTACGAATAGACAAAATATTGACTCAGTTATTTAGAATTACTAAGAGCAGTGACTAGATTCAATTAAAACAAAATTGCACTGACAAAAGCCAGATCATGGGGAGAATTTAACTAATAGAGATTTGGGAGGGAGCCAAACAAAATAGTTGGGCCTAGATAAAGCTTAATTAATTTTCATAGATTTACATTATTAAGGCAATTAGAAATTAAATTAAACCAAAATGAGCAAATAATTATTGAATTTATTGGAACTGCTCTGATTTTCCACAGATGTTTGTTCAGACTTACCGAAATTGTTGCCATTGTTGCTGCTGCGATTGTTTCCAAAATTGTTAAAATCGCCAAAATCGTTACCAAAATTGCCAAAATTACCGGCGTTTTGACCAAAATTGCCATTGTTGCCGCCTCCACCACCTCCGCCACCGGAGTTATTACCAAAATTACCCGAGTTCATTAAACTGGGCAAATTGTTGAAGCCCAGCATATTATTGGCGCCCACACCAAAGTTGCTGTTGTTGCCCCAGTCTGGAAATAGAGAATGGACCATTCAAACATTAGTCACTAATGCTATATATAAAATATCATATATGATAGGAGTGAATCGAATCAAGCAACAAATTATTTTTATACAATTGAAAATAAATGTGCTTTAAGCTGAGTTTCGACAGACCCATTTTAAGGGTCGCATGGTTCCCACTTACCATTGCGTCCACCAAAGTCGTTTCCGCCACGATTGGCACCGCGATCACGTATATCATATGGTCCTGGTCGTCCACCGACACCGCCGTTTGTCGCTCGCTTCATCTCAGCAATGGAGCTGCGGAATATCTCAATATACCTAGGAGCATTGAAAAAGAAAAGATCATACTAGAACTTTACTTCAAATTGTCTAGAGAATAATAAGAGACTTAATCAGTCGAGAGATTCAGATAGATAGAGAGGTTTACTATGGTTAATAACATATTATACCATATTATTATTCATGTTTATCCTTTACAAGAATAGACAATTGGGTATAGGAATGTTAAATAGAAGCATGTATATAGCTTATCAAAGTCTTTCTCTGGTTAATAAGGCATTATCTGTTGTTCGTTTGCACCCATAGCCTGTGCTCTATATATAAACTAGATATATATGCACAATGTAATTGTTGCTCAAAACAATATATTTTTTACTGAAATAGGAACGTATAAAAATTAGCATTTTGCTTTAATTTGCTGACAAGATTGCAACAATTTAAAGACATTTTAATTTTATATATTCATGTTACCATTGAATGTATTTCGATGTTGTTGTTGTTGCTGTTGTAGTTGGTAAATAAATGATGTGTAAGAGACCCACCTGTGCCCAATTTTTTCCCGATTTCGGCCCAAGGCTTGTTCAGTGTCATCCTGGCTTTCGAACTGAACAAAAGCTTCCCCAGTTGCACGACCCCTTCTGTCCATAACAAAAAGTATGCCCTCCCGATCCGTTTTGATTTCCAACCCTGCCCATGACGATAACCAACAAAGATTTATACAAATATATAGTGATATATATATACATATATATATGTATTGCAAGGTTAACGATAGATACAGAGAAAGAAAGAGTGGGCGATATCAAAAAAATATTTTTTGTTTTATAGAGAAGTGGTGCTTGTCTTATTTTTTGTTGCTGCTCACAAAGAACTTTTAAAAGTTCCTGGTAGGCCACCTAATTTGAAGGATGGCATTTTCAAAAATACATAAGCGAGAAACGACTTGGAAATAAATATGTTTGACTTGCAGACTTATTGTGCATTATTGTTAATAAATATTTATCAGATAAATAAATATAAGAAACAAAAATCTAACATTATTATAGATTTAATTGATTGGAATATATTGGTTATATTAACAATCCTAAATACATTTAAGAAATAAATGTTTGTACTGGGTTAGACAAAAACTAATGTTACGTGTGTGTGTAAAATGGAAAATTGGTGGATATTGTTCTTGATGTGTGAGCATTTAACGACCCCTGGTCCTTGGATGCTAACACCCCAGACGTTTGGGTACACAACTTAGATGGAGCCCAAGACTAACACTCAATTCAATGGCATAGAAATATACATATAAATATAACATATATGTATATCTATGAAAATACGTATGTTTTCACATGCATTCGAATCGGTACGTTTAACAATGAGTTCTTCTCTGCCCGCTAAATTTATGCAAATCAAAACAGAGACGTGACGCCAGAATCAGGTAATGGTCTTACCGGCAAAGAACTCCTCGATCTGTTGTTCTGTGACAGCGTAGGGCAATCCACGTAGTTTCACAACAAAGGCATGACCATGACCGCCTGTTTTGCGCATAGCCTCTTTTGCCTCCTTGGGCGTTGCCACGAAGACTATAATTGTATAAGGATAACAATTTAATATCGTGTTAAACTTGATTGTTGGTTCCGACGTACCCTCGATGTATCGATGACCCATACTAGCTTTATTTAGCTTTCGTGCTTCTTCGACATCCTCTTGGCTGGCAACCTCGACATAGGCTTCACCTGTATTCTTGCCATCCAGTCGGCTGGTAACCAGATGAATGCCCTGCGATCCATTAAGCACTTCCACGTTAACCAAGAAGTCAAGAATCTCTTTGTGCGTAGCAGACCAGGGTAGACCGCGTAGTCTTATAAACTTGGGACTCTCGCCAACGCTTCCGATCTTCACATTTGAGTCGTCGTCGCCATCGTTTTGATCGTTATCGTATTGGTCGTCATCCTCTTGCTGCTGGTCATTGTCATCATTATAATCCTCGTTATTGTCCTGATTCTGATTGAAGCCTTGATTGTACTGCACATCTGTGTTCGACATGGTGCTGATTCAGATGGCGGCAACTCTGTCAATGAGACAACCGGGAAGTGGAAGCACAAAAATACATAAACATAAAAAGTTGCATAAAAAAAATTATATTTTAATATATTATTTACATATTTATATACTGTATTACAATATTTGTTTGTCTCTTATGCCGCTACTTTTTGCTCATTCCTTTTTTGCACCGCTTACGCCATTTTGATTTTTTCCATTGCCGTAGCATTATTTTTCAGACACGTTTATTACACGATTTACTGCTTTAATTATACAGCATTTTGTTACACTCATATGTTAAACGCATAACTTACCTATTTTGGGTATTTAGAATTTGTTACTAGTCTCCTAATTTAATTGTTTCGGCACTTTTCCACAATTTTTCTGTATAAAGAACAGCACGCGTCTGGATTAAAGTTGTATCGAATCATTCAGCTCGACGGAGCGATTCACACAACTGAGCGAACAAATTTTCGTTCATCTAGTTCATATCGTTTTGCTCTCATTTGTCACTGTTAAGTTAACAGTTGCTAAAATTATTTATTTTATTGAAGCGGGATAGGCTTCTTAACGCGATTAATATTGACGTGATATGTGTAAGCTAAAGCAATAATACGGTACCAATAATACGACATTATTAATAATACAAAAAATAACTACTTGCATATTTAAATTTAACAGATCTTTCGCTGTTATGATGTATTCAAAACTGTGTATCGATGTGTATATATATCGAAGCCTTTTCCAATCGATGTTTCAGTGTAGGATAGTGTTCTGACAAACTTACCAAAACAAAAATACAGTATATAACGAATATTAAAATGTTTGTTAACTATGTAGATGTGTTAGTTTTACAAATCATTTTTAATTGGATGAATGGGTTAGTAAATATCCCAGCGTCTATAAAAATAGTTTGAGTTTTGGCGCCAAAAGTGATCATGACAGTCGCTTTTGAGACTTTTTGTTGCCATGACGACTGGCGCGAAATTCGAATTCGCTGCAACTTTGTTTGTTCAATAAAGTTATTGCATTGATTTTCATAGTCGTGCATAATAGCTGTCGGATAGAAAGTTGAATTGCAAAAATAGTAAATTTATAAAATTATTTACATTGTGATTTATATTCTGTGAAATTATTGACAGCATGTTTGTGCAAAAGAAAAAATTAGTGGAACATGTTTTGGCAATGCGTGCGAATGCAGGCAGTGCCAGTGAGGACGAAGAAGAGGAGGAGGACGAAGGAGACATTTTACAGGTGCCAATTGAACGATTAAGCAAAACTAAACCAAACCCAACAACCAACTAACTAATTAACCAATTAGTGGGCAATTCGATTTGTCACAAAATTATTATAAATAACTATTGCTTCAGTACAAATTGTAATATTAACTTCTTAGCGCCTTGTACTCGTTGGCTGATTATGTAATCCTTTGACTGGTGTAAAAAGCGAAAAAAAATTAATTTGTATATTACATTATAAGGTTATGCGCTGTAGTTGAACCAAGCTAATAAGGAATTTGGTTAACGTATTAGATACATACATATGTAAATAAATATATTTATATATGCATATTATTTATATCGATATTTGTCTGTATATATGTATATGTATATATAAATTGACCTATTATTATTATATATTTTATAATTTTGTTTCGAAACACATTTGTAATGCCATTTCCGGAATGCTCCACTCTCTTTGCAGAAAAAACTCGAATTTTCAATAACTAAAAAAATATATTTAGCTATACACATAACTTAAACAATAGATAACTGTTTGTTTTTTGAGACAACGTATATTATTATTCTTTTTTTCTAGCTGCACTTTTGAAGTAAGAGTTGAAAGTAAAAGTAAAAGTTGAAAGCAAAAGTTGTTCTAGTTGTTGTTATGGCAAATCTTGCTGTAAGTAGTTTTGAATTTTGCATAAAAATATTTACTTACTTTTGAACGCATTACGGCAACAAGTTTTTTGTTTGCACTTAATCTGCACAAGAAAAAAAAAAAAAAAAAAAAAAGAGAAGAGAACAACACAATTATTTTTTAAACTAATATATTTTTGGTCTTTCCCCGTTTTTGAATTTTGCAATGGCGAAAACCTATAAATAAATAAACTATATATTCACAATAATAAAAAAATTTTATAAATAATATAA